AAATCCAAAACCCAATCATCAATATCTCCCCAGTCTTACTCCTATAGTTCTGATCTGTTTTTATGATAGCTGTATTTTTTTCTAGTCACCCAGACTCAAATCATGAGAGTGGTATTTGATTTTTTTATTTCTTCCTTCCTCTTCCCAAATCAACATTTCAATTCTAATAAATGAAATTCAGAAAACTCTTTTTATATATGATGCTTTGAATTTGACTTTCATTTCACCACTTCAGTTTAAGACTTTTATTTTTAACCTGTCATTTGGATTAATATAGTACTCTATTAAAACATCTTTCTGTGGTCAATCTCTTCCCCCCCAAAAAAAGCTTACTTGTGATCATACTTCACAAAAATCTTTACTGCATCTTATAGTTTATATACAAAAATATCTAAGTTTCTTCTTAGAACAGTTGATCAATCTGTAATGTGTCCTCTTTCTGCACTTACATGTTTACCCACCATTATATTTCTCCATGTACTTCATTCATACCAGATTCCATGTTGTGGCCTGAAAATGCATTAAAATGCATTTTCAATTACATTATTTTCCATATGTGAAATGGAATAGTTTCTCCAGTTGAAAAACATCCTTTAAGGTCAACTGAAAATTCCACTTTTATTAAGAAATATTTTCTCATCTTTCCACATATACTACTCCACCAGCTGACCTTAATCTCTTTTTTCCCTGAACACTCATAAACTTATATTGGTCCTTTATTATGGCACCTAATCCAGTATACTCTGTCATAGTTTTAAATGTCTCCCTTACTATATTGCAAGATTGGTGCAGTCAGTTTCTGCTTCTTATATCTTTTTTATTTGAATATTATCTAATACCAATATTATAAAGTGCTTTTAAGATTACTGTTGAAACAATGATTGATTGAATATATTAATGAGTAATCAGTAGGTCTTTCATAAATGTTACTATGAAGCAGTAAAGTTTTATGACAAGTACTTTGTTTTGATAAAATCTTATGTTATTTGCTTTAAAAGCAAGTGAAGAATTGTAATAACTTTTAATGCCATTTATTGTGTTATTAAGGGGAAAATAACTTGAAAATTACAGATTTTTCTCATTTACAAGCTGGAATAGTGAGTTCTTTCTATAAAAAAGAACCTGTTATTTCTATTTGATAGTGATGTCTGTTGGCTCACTACCATATTTCCTTTCATAATCAAAGGAGGAAAGACAAATTTAAATTCTTATACAGAGCATAATCAGTAATGCTGCATAATTATTTACTCCTATTTGTGGACAAAAAAAGTGTTTCAGGCAGACCAAGAGTAAAATTTCTTCATAGCATCACTCTATTTAGTATTTCACTTAATTGTTGTACTCAGTAGAAACATATGTTCAAATGCTTAAAAACAATCACAGGAACCCAATAATATTCTATTTATTTAGAAACCTAAATTTTAAAATTATTTGCTTACATCAATCTAATGCCTTTTTGTGATTGTAATTGTTTTAGTTTTGCATAGTTATACAGATCATAGAAGTATACTAGTATTTTAGTTCCATGTGCCATCAAATTATTTGGCACTCAGTGAAGTCATTTATCCAGAAAATAACTAGGAATGTTAGTTTGACATTTAGTCATTGATATATTTTTCTTAAAGGAAACATGTCATTTACATAATATTTTATTTTTTCAGTTGCATAATGTTAACTCATTTTGGCTTTAAAAGGAAGCGATAAATCACTTGGATCTAAATAATTTAATTGTGAATAACTATGCATTTGTATCTTTATTCTACTGCCAACAAAGAGAATTTTACCAATATCTTTAACATTAGGTTAAGCCTGGATATTTCCCCATTCAAATACGTTAAACTAACAGCTAAAGAAATTACAAATATCAAGACAAATATACTATGCAGTTAATATTCTAAGGTAGAATTATGTTTAATAGGACTCCTAACTATAAGCAACTCAAGTAACCCAGATAACCATTTTATTGACATTACATTTCAGAAGAATATGCAAAACAAGTGCCCAAACCTTTGGTTGAGTCAGATACTTGGCTGTGAATGAAATAAAAAAAAAAAAATTGAAGTAAACTTTGCACAAACAGACCCACAATGTCATCCCACCCATGTATCTCAGAAACAGCCTGTTAGGAGGATGTAGTCAGACGTGTATCTCCTCAGAATAATATTCCAACAGATAGATCAGTTGGAAGCTCTTCATTACAGCATCTGTTCTGTGTTTATAACTATATCTGCAGACTGCCGAACACCCTCAGTGCACCATAAACGCAGGAATTACACATCCAGCATGGTAATAAATTCGTTGGGTGATGTGTTTGTTCTCTAGAGTTTTTCAGCCCCTTGTGTTGGCAAGACTGCTAGATTTTTGTTGCTGCAGAAAATATTAGATTGTTTGTAGTTTTTGTGACTCTGGTGACAAACCAGGAAAACATAACAACAATAAAATGGTAAAAACATAGGCACTGAGATTATTGTTGCATTTTAAAATTACAATCTCAGAGAGAGTTACAAGAGAAGCAACCATAGAATGAATAAGTGAGACACCTGAGTAAGTGAATAGTTGTTTTCCATAGAAATTTAGCCTCTAATACCCTCTCTGGGTCAGCTTAGCTGTGTGGCATACCATGGAGAAGCTACAGCCAATAATTAAGCAACTTACTGGTGAAACCAGCATTTCATAGAGAATCATTTCAATTTAGACCAAGTTGATTTTTCTCTCAAAAGCGTGATCCCAAATGAAATTACTTCCAAACTCAAAACAGTAAAGGGAATATTGTCAGCGTAGAAGGAAAGCATCTGCAGGTGTGAGAAAGTGATCAGAATGTACTGCAATGCCTGGCTGCGAAGGAGGTGCTACGCCTCCTTAAAGTAACATCGGCTAGCTTCATCTTTTCCCAGCAGCAAGCACTGTGTACTCTCCATCAGTAGTCACTGCTCTCTGGGGCAGGCCCCAATACTGTCTGTACATCACTGGGAGGGCTCTCATCAATGCACGTTCTTGGTTACCAACACAAGCTGTCTCAATCACATAGGTTCTCCCTTTTCAGTAAATGCTGGGAGCATAGTTTTCATTAATGACCAAAAATCAAATGAAAGTTTCTGAAGAACCATAATAGAGGCAGACATGTTAGGAACATGAAGCTAGATATTGGTGGATGGTGGGACAGAATCCTCATAAAGCCATTTGGGATGTGAAAAAGAATGTTTCTTAATTCCTATAAATACTCCAGTTTAAAGAGTATTTTCTTCCTTATTTTTATTTAATTTCCTCTTTTTCCTCTGAATGAAAACTGTTATGCCACTTTACATCTGGACTCGGTGGTCTATTTTTTTTTTCTTATTTGATGACATTGTTGGTTTGCTCTCATATCGCTGGTAATTCCCTGCCAAGAGGCTGCTACTGAGGAGTGCTGGATAGCATAAAAACCATGGCAAGGGCAAAAAAAAATGACTAAGCAACTTGATGATCAGCATCCTATGAAGAACTTAAAATTGATACAGTGAGAAATAAGTGTAAATTATCGTCTTCATCCATAATGCTGAAAAAATTTAGGGATGTCCTTAGTTGAAATAACTATGGATTTCAAAAATATATTTTTCCATAGACTGTCTCATCTGATCATCAAACCAATGACAGGATTTCTGTAAAAGATGCTCATGGTGGTGCTTGGCAAGGAAAGATACAAAACTAGAGATTTAAGGCATGTAGATTTTTTGACATATGTTAAGATGAGACATTTTATGCCAGTTAAGACATAGGCAAGGAATGGCTAACAAAGTGAAATTTTACTTCAGAGTTACATAAATTCACAGTGTCTCAGTTTCCTCATCTACAAAATGGAGAAAAATAACACCCATCCCTCTTATCTTGCTGATTTGTTCAGATAGGTGAGATAGTTATAAAGCAATGTATACCTTATAACAATTACTACTAAGAGCCTTCATTTCAAAGGATTATTTCAAAAAGTAAAATTAATACTGTTAATGGGGGATATTATCTTTGAACAATTCAATTACCTTTAGATCTTCTAGCATCCATGTCATTTTCAAAATAGTAAATGTTACATGAAATTTACTTCACAGATCTCAGGAAAGATGACTCATGTAAAATTTAGTATATGCTTCTTTGCAATGCAGAGTCAGGAAGTACTTATTACATAAACTACTCAGAAAAATGATCAGAATAGAATAATCGAGTTTGATGTTCACACTGATTCACAAGTTTGGGGCTCATTCACAAGTTTGGGGTTCTTAATTCTTTAGGTACTTTATGGCTAAGAAAGTTCTGATCATGACCTTGCAGTTGAGATAACTCAATTAATATATAGAATATGGAATATCTTTACTACAATATTCATTAATGTTCAATAAATAAGAGGGTCATATTACAGTTGCCTAAGCAAACTAAATTTAGAACATACTTGGTGCTCAATTGTAGTCAAATTTTGAAAAATTTCCCCAAGTGCTTAATTCCCTTCCTCTCACCCCAGATTAGTGATGAGGTGGCTCTAGAGTGATAAAAAAAAAAATCAGAAAAGATCTTCAACCATGGTCTAAACTAGAAATTAGAACTAGAGTTTGCATCTCTGACCCAGACCCCAGAGACGTGTTAATGTTCCATAGAGAGAGGACCCACATGAAAGGGAAAACATTATTGGCAGAACAGAAGCTCAGATTCTAGGTCAGAATGTGTTCAGCTGGTTGGTGCTTCATGCTCCTTGCTCTTTCAAAGAAATGAAAATAAGAAGGTAGTCCTAATCCAACAGAATGTGAGATTAAAAAAAACACACACAAAAAAACACAAGAAAATGTTAAGAAAAAATGAAAAAAAAATTAGGAAAAGTGAAGAACAAAATTTAGTCAAATAGAGAAAAAGAAAAGAAAATGAGAGAGAAAGAGAGAAAGGAAAAGGGGAAAAGAGAGAGAAAGAGAGAGAGAGAGAGAGAGAGAGAGAGAGAGAGAGAGAGAGAGAGAGAGAGAGCGCAACCCGATCAGATTACTCACTTGGCATTCCCTGCCCCTGGTTTCTTTCTTCGGAAAATGTTGAGGAAAGTGTTGGAGCGGCAGGGCAGCTTGCCATCGCCGACATGCATGCGGACTACATCAGAGGTGGTGAAGGCACTGCGGACGTTCCTCTCCGGCTTGGCAATGATGATGTACATCTTGGGCGTGAACATGCACCCCAGGGCCACCGTTACGCTGAGGCTCACTGCAAAGCAGGTAGTGATGATCTTGTAGTTGCTCCCAAAGTAAATGGGCACAAAAGCCAGCCAGATGATGCAGGTTGTGTACATGGTGAAGGCGATATATTTGGCCTCGTTGAAGTTGGCGGGCACGTTGCGTGTCTTGAAGGCATAGTAGGTACAGCTCATGATGAGGAGTCCATTGTAGCCCACCGGGGCTACCACACCCAGGTTGCTGGTATTGCAGATAAGGTAGACTTCCTTGATACTTGGGTATGACAGGATGGGCATGGGGGGCTCCATGATGATCAGGGTTACCACCAGGGTTAGCTGCACGCTAATCAGAATGGAGGCAATGATCACCTGGGCCCAGGCACTCATGAACCTGGGCTTCCGGGTGCAGATCTTCTTCTTGCTGCCAGCTAGAATGCGTGCGATGCGATTGGTTTTGGTCACTAGAGCGGAGTAGCACATGGCAGAGGAGAGGCCAACCAGGAGGCGCTGGAGGTAGCAGGATGTGGTGGTAGGTTTGGCAATGAGAGTGAAAGGGCACACGTAACCCAGGAAGATGCCAGCTAGGATAATGTAGCAGAGCTCTCGGCTGGAAGATTTCACCACTGGTGTGTCCCGGTATAGCACGAAGATCAGTGTGACAAACAAGGTGACAAGGATTCCCAGGCAGGAGAAGGCGATGGCTATGATGGATTCTATATTGCTCCACTCAAGGTAGCGGACGGGGATAGGTTCACAGCCTGGGCGGGAAAAAGGAGATTTAAAATGACTCCAAGATTTCTACTGATCAATAATAACAGTGCTTTCTAGTTACCAGAGGCATAGCTAAATTCACATCTTCCAAGCTTTTAAAAATGTTTCACTAGTACACAAATAGAAATACATTATTGTTTTCTCTGGACAGTTATGTTCTTAAACCTAATTGCATTACATGCCTAATATGACATACTTGAATCTATAAAAATTATCTTCTTTATCTAATACCAGCATTACAAATGAATGACACTCTATGGGTGAAACTTGGTTCTACACTTTTAGAAAGAGAAAGACCATGTTTCCAGTGGGGTTAAGTGGTGACAATGTATTAGATAAGTTAGTAAGAATAAACTAATGCAACTTTTATTTTCATGTATTTATTGCCTACAGGCAAGTCCGGCTTACAGATAGTGTTTTAAACACAAATTTCACCTCAATTTTTTAGAAGAATCCACCTTGTGCTATATGTCACATATCATATTATTTATTTTAAATATCACCCCATTATTTATGTTTGATCTGTATGTGGCAATTAAGAGCCTCTTAGTTATCACCCTCTACCAGAAACACCAAGGAAGAAGGAACTCTCCCTTCACCCATCTCTTGAAAAGAGAGACAGAGCTGTGATCCTAAATGCCTGGCTAATCTTTTCCTTTGAGATGGAAAAATGAAGTCTTTTTTTTGTATTTCACACTGAGAGAAAAATGTCCCAGGAAACAACTCCTTAACAGAATTTTGTGTTTGGTCTATGCCAGTATTTTCCAAATTGTGAGATTAAAAATATTTCTATAAATTTAGGAAAAGACATTGTTTTGTAGGCATAGTAACCTGTTCAGGAAAAGACATTGTTTTGTAGGCATAGTAACCTGTTCAATCAACAACAGTACCCCTCAGCAAACATGTTTTTACATGCCATCAGTATCAGCGCTTGCTTCTCTGATAAACACCTAATCAGGAGCAGATGCACATTTAACAAATGAGCGCCAACCATTCACAAGCACAGTCTCTTGATGGATTTTAGTGGTCTTGCTCTCGCTTTTCTGACAGGGTTTATCTGTCAAGGTCTCAATCTCTCCCTGGGAAGAACTTCTGCTTCCTATAAAAAGCCACATTTTAATTTTAAATCTTCTAATTTCCTTGATGAGTCTGTAAAAAATTATCTTTTTTTTTTTTAAATACCAGCTTTAGAAAATTTAGAAAGATGATTAATAGATTATTTAGAATAACAATGATCATTAGGGAGAACATGACACAACGAACAAATTAAAATATATGAAAGGCTTTGTAGACAAATTAAGAAACAAAATACTAAATAGTTAATATTCAGCTTCTTCATTGGCATACTGCAGTTGCTAAATAAAATTTAAATTCCAATGTAGTCTTTGTCAAGACCTTGGTAACCTTTTGAAAGCAACCCTCTCTGCATTTCTCTTTTTCTATGTAACTTTATCTGATTTTTTTTCATGAACTGTTATGACATCAAAGTTTTCATTAGGAAAGAATACTATATTTTAAATTTGGAGAACACAAGTCATATCTGTGGAAGTTGAATTAAAACCCTGAGTCAAATTAAGCGCTATAATTAATGGTTTTCCTAAATTTTAGAGCTATAGGCAAAATATTTTCTGCAAAATTCAGAAAATTTAATAGATATTTATTGTTACACTCTATAGATATATACCAATTAATTCAATTAATTGTTAACTTCATGGAGGAAAATATTTAAAGACAGCAGATTAGAAAAGAAAAGATTTAAATAACATAGTGGTGTACAATTTTAAAAATAAAAAATGCATTACATAAGGCAATTTCAGAAGCTCTTCTTTGGTAAAGATTCAAAGTTATAAACTAAATAAAGATTGAAGACAGGCTTTCAGAAACTTTCAACTAATTCTAGGGTGGGCTCAACGACTGAGAAGGACTATATCTTCTCTTCTTATAAATTGGCTTAAACCTGAATTAGAGGAATCAAACTAGAGAAAAATGTTAAAATACATAATTACTGACTCATCAATATTCTATATGTAACTAGACATTTAGATAGAATATAAAAATAAACTAGGAATCAATGTAATTGTGGATCTGTAGGTAAAGCAACAAACAAGATAATGATTTTCATCTGGGTAACGAACTCTCCTGCCATGTTGCAAGGAACTGAGATTAGTTCCCATCCAACAACCAGCAAAACACTGAAACTCTCAGTCCAACAGCCTTTGAGGATTATATTTTCACAATGACCACACCAGTGGGATTGGAAGTTTATCCTTCAGATTAGACCCTATCCCTAGCTGACACCTTGATTTTAGGCCTGTGAAAGATCATGAAGCAGAGAACCCAGCTAAACTGTGTCCATATCCCTGACCCACAGAAACTGTGAGATAATGAATGTGTGTTTGTTGTAAGCTACTAAGTTTTGGAGTGATTCAGCAATAGATAACCAATTTGCCCATTAAAACCAATATCTCAAGTCAATAGCCAAAGCATAAGGACAATTGCAGGCATAACTAATTGGTCAAAACATGTTTAGGCTTTATACAAAGTTGTTCAAGTGTTATTATAAATAATAAAACCCTATTTAAAAAGTCAACATTTTCTACTAGTTAATTAGCTAATTATGAATTGTTGCTTCTTCTCCTTCCTATACTACTATCCACTGATGTAATACTCATATATCTTAATCAATGTAGAAAAATCTCAGGGTTGTGTTTATGTCACTTAAGAAGTGTCCGTACCCAGAAATGAATTTTAAACAACCCAGTACTATTGTTCTTGTACTAAAAATAAAAAGGAAAACTACTAGATTTAATATATAACAAATAGTCTAATAAGTACTACAAAATGCAATGCTACCACAATCCAAACTTTTCTAAGAAATAAATTGTGGCCTCTCTGTGGCATACCACACTGTTAAAAGAAAATAACAGATATGCAAACTAATAGCCGGTATGTTTTCAGAATAATTCACTCATTTAACATAAAATAGGAACTTTTTTTTTAAAAAAAGTCTTAGGGTATTTTTTTAAAATTAAAAATGTCAAATTTTTATTCATTAATGCTATGTAAAATAATTGCTTTCAGAAAGCAATTATTGAGATCTACAGTAAAAAGGTACTATAAAAACATCTTAAAATATAATAGAAATATTTGAGAGATGATCATGCTAAACATACTGCTCTGACTAGAAATCTTTATACAAGAGGCTCACATAAAACAACAACAAACAATTTATTCCCAAGTTTCTGGACAAATGAAAAGGGATCTTAAAATTGCTGAAGGTTAAATCCCTTACTGATTTTAATTTGAGTTTCGTTTTTCTTTTTCTGACTTTAGAATTCAAACCTTTATTTGTGATACTAGAGGTCTGGTACATGACATTCATGCACTGGGGAGGAGTGGGGGGTTCCCTCAGCCCAGCCTGCACCCTCTCACAGTCCAGGATCCCTTGGGGGATGTCTGCCTGCTGACTTAGGCTTGCTCCCTGGGCCTAAGCCAGCAGTCGGACCTCCCCCCCCCCCCCCCGCCCCGCCCTGCCTCTTTGCTGAGGGGTTCTTAGCATTGCCATAGAGGCCCTTGATAACTATGAGCCTGGCTTCTGGTTGAGTGGTGCTCTCCCTGTGGGAGCACACTGACCACCAGGGGGCAGCTCCTGCATTGAGTGTCTGCCTGCTGGTGGTCAGTGCGCATCATAGTGACCAGATTACATATTAGCCTTTTATTATGAGAATAAAAAAAGCATTAGTCACATACATGAGAAGAAAAAAAAAAGCATTAGTCACATACATGAGGCAACAGTACTAGCTCTTATCAAACAGAGCAACATGCAAATACTTCTCACCACCTACCTTTACAGTTTCAATGGCACAACAGCATACCAAACCTATTTTCCCAGACGTGCATAACTAATAGTCTTTAAATCCCAAGGATAGTAATTGTGTCATGCCCAATTCACTGATTAAGAATGAAACAATCAGACTCACATATTTTAAAACATTTTAAAAAACCAACACACCAGAAACAGCAAAAGCTATAAGGGTAAAATGTACTGTGGATTTAAAATTTCTAAAGTGAAATTTAAGGGGAAGAAAGCCATAATAAAAAAATAAATTAATTAAAAATTTAAAAAGCCATGGATATTACTTTACTAATTCAGTAGATGCATCTCAAACAAGTGATACCATAAAGGGTTTTCAAATCCTTCCCTAAATTTTTACAATCAGATCACATCCCATTTTGCTCCGATCCCCCAAACTGATTTTGGCTGATAGTTTTCCCTTTAGTACTGGATCACTTAAAAAGCAAAACTTTTAAACTAAAATTATGATGGATGCTAAACCTTAACTTGGTACATGGATTTTTTGCTACAAATATTACAGTCATTTTACGTGACAAAAAAAAAAAAAAAAAAGGTTATTTGGTTTTCCTGTTCAAATGACTTTGAAATGATAATGTTAAGCAAAAACTATTGTTGCTATTAATACTGGCCACAAAAAAAAGACAAGTGATGTATTTATAAGGCATAATGTGACATAGAGATTCCTTTAGAAATTCTTGCTTTGCCCTTTGCTCAGAATTTTCGATCACAAAATCTCAGTGAATAAAAACAAGTTGTAAACCAAGAAGAGTAACTCAAAAGCATACATCTAATTTCAAAGTGTATACCAAAATCTCAAACTATTATAATACCAGTAGTTTGTCTTTTTTATCTTTATATGTTTTTATTTATTTCAGAGAGGAAGGGAGAGAGAGAGAGAGAGAGAGAGAGAGAGAGAGAGAGAGAGAGAGAGAGAGAGAGAGAAAGAGAGAAACATCGATTATGAGTAAGAATTATTGATTAGTTGCCTTTTGCATGACCCACACTGCGGATAGAGCCTGGAATTCAGGCATGTGCCCACAACTTGAATTGAGATGTGATCTTATGGTTAATAGGTTGATGCTCAACCACTGAGCCAAGCTGGCTGTGCTTAAACTTAAATACTTTAAAAGTCCATAATTTGAGCATGTAGTCTTTTTTATGACTCATCTTCACAGCTTCAGATATACCACTTAAGAAGCTTGCAAAGCAGTGAAAGATGTTAGGATCCTGCTGAAGCAAGTTTGTGAGGCCCATCTTTCAAATGACCCATACTCAGGTTTTCAGTTATACCTTCTCAGTCTTTCCCACTTTGCAGCAAAGCAAAATAATTTTGTTTTTTCCTCTGCACTGAGAATCCTAAGTGCTTTAGAATATATATAAGGAACTTCTGTGCTTCCAAGTAACAATTCAACTAGCATTAACAATTTACTAATATTAACTTGTATTTGCCCACAAGTTCTATTAAATTCTCCAGAGCTCTGCCCCCTGATATTTTCTCCCGAGAATTCTCTACAACCCACATTCCCTACCACCCGCATCCTCTGCAATATAACTAACCACCCCTTTTCCTTTCTTCACTCCCACCCTTCCTCTATCAATGTCAAGCTGTGCCCTCCCCCTCCTACAACTTTCATCTCAGGGTCCTTCCATTTGAATGCCAAGATTACTTGGGAATCTAATCAAGTAAAATTCAAGTTAAAAAGCATAAAGCAAGATGAATCAAAGATCACTATCAGTCCCCCACCATTCCTTTCTCTTAATAATCTGCAATGTAATCGGAATGCCCAAACAAGACCCATCATTCTAACAGAATTTGGCTATGACCAACTTGTACCTCCTAGACTGCAGCACAACACAATGACCACCCCTCTCAATTTGCTTCCTTCAGGCGTTTGCCAAAGGTACTCCAAACGTGAACATTTGCCCACGGTTTTACCATCACATTAAGAATTCATACAGGCAGGCAGGCAGGTAGGTGAGTAGGTGAGAGGATCACTGGAATCCATCTACAGGCATCACTCTGCATTGTGGCATCAATGTTAAAATGTTCATAGCAGAGAACTGGCATGACAGGAGGCTCAATTTAGAAGATGAAGCATCTGAAAACTCTACCTAAAAAGGGAAGGGTGCGTGCTGGCATTCATGCGCCCAGAGGTTGGTGCTCCAAGATCAAAATTCAAATAAATGCATCTGCTGGTGGCCCGGATGCATCTGACTTGGACTTTTAAACATTGTCACCTCAGAAGCTCATCTGAAAACCTTAAATGATGGCTTCTTACGTACAAGGCTTCCTGAGCCACATGCAGATCTTTGGCTCCTTGAGTGTGGCTCTTCCACAAAATACCACGTGCGGGCGTGCAATTGAAACTTTGTGGCCTATGCACAGAAGTAGGCTTTCGGCCTGGGTGAGTTTATTTTGAAGAAGTGGTGTTAGAACACTTAAGGGGCCAAAGTGTTGCATGTGGCTTGGGAGCCGCAGTTTGCCGACCACTGGTCTAATCAACTGACCTACCCAGGCTATAATTTAGTATTTTTTATTTCTAATGAATAAATTTAGTGTAGTCTAGCTTTTAGTGTAGTATAAGAGAAATTCTCTTATACTATTTGGCTTTTTAAAAGAAATAAGTAGCATTAGATTATACATAATTGTCCAATGAATTGTTAAACTGCTGTCAAGTTGTATATTATGGCAGAAGAGATCCCTGTTTATGCATCATAAAAAAGTAAAGTGTAAAATTTAAATGTGCATTTTTCCCAAAAAGGAAATATGAAAAACTTATTAACAGCTTCAGAAATCACATCCTCTAAGAAATATAGCAATTTTTCTTCATAGCCAGAAAACATATGCTAATAAAAATAAAAACTCACTTAAAAACATGCTTTCATTCATTACTATTAGAGTCTTTGAAGCATATATGGAAAGCAGCTATCTCATAAAAGCATTTTAAACATATCTTAAGAAACTTTCTCTTCAATTTAAAAAAAGCACCATTTCTCAGAAAAGAATAGTTTATCAATTTTAACTGAAATTCATTTTTTAAAAATCTACCCATGCAAATAAAATACCTATTTAAAAGCAATGCATTTACCCATCAATTTCAAGTGATTTTGGGGATTCTCTGCCTGTGGGTTTTCTTTTTTAACAATTACTGCTACCATGGCAACAACCAACAATGCATTGTCCTGTACTATACCCTTGCTCTGAGCCTGACATGGCACAAAATAAGTGGCAAATGAGATCTCATTTTCCATTCATGTATAAGACTGCAGAAACAACAGATGGCATTTAACACTAAGTATAAATTAGTGTGAGAGATGTATATTCTAAAAGATCCTATATAAAAGATTTGAAAAATATGAATATTTGGATATATGAAACACTTGGCTATTGTAAGATAAAGACAGTCTGAGCTGTTGCTGGCTCAACTCATTTGAATGTTAAAGTGACTTTTATACATATGATAGATTAAATTCTTTAAAAGAATAATTCTATTAATATTCATCTACTTATAGTCAAGGATGATTTTTAAAAATATGTCTTTATTGATTTCAGAGACAGGAAGGCAGAAGAAGAGAGAGACAGAAATATCAATGGTGAGAGAGAATCATTGATCATCTGCCTCCTACACACCCCACACTGGGAATCAAACTCACAACCTGGGCTTGTGCCCTGCCGTGAATGAAACTGTGGCCTTCTGGTTCATATGTCAAAGTTCAATCACTGTGCTAAGACAGCTGGGCTATATTTTATATTTTTACATTTTTTCCCCCTAATAGATTTTAAGCAAAACATGGCTGGGATCTATTTCACTTATCTTTCACCTATAGGGCATGCTATAGTATAATACCTCCTACACGATGTTCAGGAAAGATGTTCAAATATAAATTCAAGTGATTAGAAACACCTTCAAATGAAAATTTTGAAAAAGAACCAAAACAACTGGCATACCAGAATTTGCTGTCAACGCATTTTAAAATTTAGATTTAAACAAACTTTTCTTTTAACATAGGTCATGGAAAATGTATAAGAAGACTGTGCATACGCTTTGACATGAGCCTTCGAGAGTGCATACTGTACATGAACATCCAACAGGGCCTGAGCTGTGAAAGGGCCAGTCATCAGAGACCAGGTTTACAAGTACGACTCCTACCTGTGAGATCTGCATTGGGCCACCACCCCAAATCACAGGCTTTGCAGGTGAACTCGTCTTGCACATATTCATTCTCTTTGCAGGCTGTGCAGATCCAGCAGCAGCTCACTTCTCCTTTCCTTATGACCTGTATGTAACACAGCAATATTTCACATGCCTAAGGAAGGTTTCTCCAGAAAGTCTGCTATTTCAGATGACTTGTTTTCATACTGCAATAAAAAGGTAACTTTAAAAAAAAATTCTATATGCTGGAGACAATTAAGCACATGGATTAAAATATACCTGATTACCTTAGAGTCCAAATGTGAATTTCAACTCATTTCATGCTGGATTTGGAAGCTTTTCAATAATAATTTCTTTAATAAAGAGAATTGACTACATTATGTTTTACAGAGTTAATAATAAAACAGGTACATTTTATTCTTATTCAAATTAATAGGTATTAATTATTCGATGAAAGTAGAGCTTTCTTCTCTGAAAGAACAAGTAATATTTAAACACAGAAGTTTCTATATAATAAAAACTCATTAATTCATAAAAACTTAGGTATTCTGGAATGTTTATTATAATTACGAAAGTCTGAGAAATTTTATATAGATAAAAACAGACTGATGGCTAAGAAAGTTATTGGCCTTGCTATTTGCTCTAGTGAATTCAAAAGGTCCCATAAATTGTTGGAAGGAAAACATCACTAGTCCAAAATTACTGAAGAATTGCTCATTATCTGAGCAGTTTAAACTTTCTCCCATTTTCAGATTGTTGGGTAAGCATTTTTTCACTTACACAATACAAAAATAAATATCAAAACACACTGCATTTAAAGTGAGTTTCTTGTAAACAGCACATGATTAAATACTGCTTTCATCTCCAGGCTGAGAATTTCTGCCTTTCTATTAATGTGTCATTTATTAGAATCATTGGAATGATTGGATATGCATCAATTACCCCTTTTTTCTATCTATTCCATCTGTGCTAGTACGTTTCCTTTTATTCTGCCTTCTTTTGGACTGAGAATTTTTTTAGCACTTCATTTTACCTCTAAAATTGGCATACTTGCTAAACCTCTGTGTTGCTTTTGTGGCTGTTGTAGGATTGAAAATATGCACCATTAACTTATCACAGCCTACATTCAAATAGTATTATACCACTTCATGACATTGTAAGACCTCTACAATATTCTTCCACCTTCCCCTCCTATTGGGTATTGTTTTAGTACACATTTTATAAACCCCTATGAAAAATATTTTTGCTTTAAACAATCATCTTTGAAATGCACTTTTGGAAAAAGGAAAAAAAATCATTATATTTAATATTTACCCAATAAGTATATTTTATATTTATATTATAACGTCTGGTGCTTTTAAGTCCTTTGTATAGACCCAATTTTATATTCTCTATAATTTTCTTCATTCTGAAGAACATTCTTTAACATTTATTGTGTGCTGGTGTGAGAATTATGAGTTCTTTCACCATTTGTTCATTTGATAAGTTTTCATTTTGGCTTAATTTTTGAAAAAAAATATTTTCACTTGGTAGAAAAGTTTAAATGACAGGATTATTATTAATATTATTATTATTATTATTATTATTATTATTTCTTTTAGCAGTTTCTGCCATTCCATTATCCTTGCAAATAGAATTCTAGGTTAAAAGATTTTTTTTTTCTTTTAACACTTTAAACATGCCCTTTCTTCCTTGCCTTGTATATGGTTTCTGATGAGAAGCCCACTGTAATTCTGACTGAGTTTTATGGCTGATTTTAAGAATTTCTTTTTAAAAAAAATATATTTTTATTGATTTTTTACAGAGAGAAAGGGAGAGAGATAGAGAGCTAGAAATGTTGATGAGAAACATCAACCAGCTGCCTCTTGCACACCCCCTACCGGGGATGTGCTCCCAATCAAGGTACATGCCCTTGACCGGAATCGAACCTGGGACCTTTTAGTCCACAGACCAGCGCTCTACCATTGAGCCAAACCGGTTTCGGCAAGAATCTCTCTCTCTCTCTCTCTTTTTTTTTTTTTTATCACTGGTTTTTAGCAATTTAATTATGTGTTCAAATTCTTTGGGATTTGTTGAGGTTCCTGAATTAGAGTTTACATTTTCATTACATTTGAATATTTTTCAAGTAATTGTTTCTTGAATGATTTTCTCTAGCCTGTCTCCCGAGTCTCTGATTGTGTTTGTAATATACCTTTTGCCTGTATTCTGCAAGTCACTGAGCATCTGTTCATCTCTTTAACTTTGTTTTCCTCTGTGTGCCTCATTTGCCTATTTTCTGTCGCTGCGTTTTTAACTTTATTGATCTTCACTTCTATAATGTCTAATATCTGTTAACCCCATTCATTGAAATTTTATTTCTTATATATTTTAGTTTTCATTGTATAGGTCCCATTTGGCAATGTTTTAATATTTTATTAGCCTTCCCATAATATTCATGTTTTGTTTTAAATTCTTTAGTATGTACTTTAAGAAGATATTTTAATATTTTTGACTGCTAATTTCTTCGTCAATGTAATTTTTGGGAGTATTTCTGTTGCTTGATTTTTCTTCTGGTTATGTCTCAGGCTTTCTCACTTTGTCATATATCTGAAGTTTATTGACTAGACGCTGACCATGTGTGATCCCATATAAGGTGTAAAGCACTGGAAATTTTTTATTGAAGAAATATTGCCCTTTCTTCTGGCAGGCAGCTAAGTGACTTGTGGCTCAGTTTGAGTCATGTTTTTAATCTTCTAGGGCAATTGTAAAATAGTCTCTACTTTATGAAGTGCTTGTCTCATTATTTTTTAATAAATTATTATCTCTGAACATATACCATTAAGGTGTGGCCCCTCTGGGGTCTCTACTTAATTTCTTGTGCATTCAACAAGGTGTTGGGTCTGCCCAACACCTAAAACATTATCACTCTGGCTTGTGAAGACTGGAACAATTTCTGGCTCCATGTGAGCTTTACAATCCAGCTACCCAGTAATTATTCTTTACCTGGACTTTTAAAAATTACATTTTTATTGGTTTCAGAGAGGAAGGGAGAGAGCGATAGAAACATCAATGATGAGAGATAATCATTGATCAGCTGCCTCCTGCTCACCCCCTACTGAGTATCTAGCCTGTAGCCTGAGAATGTGCCCTTGACCAGAATTGAACCCAGGACCTCTCAGTCCATAGGCCAGTACTCTATCAACTGAGCCAAACCAGCTAGGGCTACTTGGACTTTTTGAATTTTGTCCTACTCTTTTCAAATCCGCATTCCATCAAATACTCAAGACAATTCACAGCCAACTTCTGGGACTTTTTTTTGCATAGACTTTTCCTCCCCCTTACTTTGCATTACAAATTCTAGCTGCCTTGGGGAAACTCCTCTGGTTTCTGTCTTGTTAAATTAGTGAGGTGGCCAAGCTCTGTTGGTGTTCTCCCTCAGTGAACAACAATCAGGAAATTGCCTCCAGGCAGACAGCCTGAGTGATTTTAAGGTTCACCTTGTTGGTCCCACCTCTGAAATCAAGGTCATGTGCTGCTCCTCAACATGAGAACACAATTATTTCATACACTGTGTCAAGTTTTCAGTTGTTTACAGTACAAGGCAAAGTCTGGACTCTGTTACTCCATCATGACTAGAAGCAAAGTCTCTGCCCAACACCTAAAACATTATCACGTTTTCATACGTAAAGTAAAAAATTAAACTGCAAATATTGGCATCCCTTAAAGTCATACCAACTGTAGCCTTTGTAAAAATAAAGTTCTATTTTCTCAGATCAGGTTGAATTTCATACCACTATTTTAGAATTACATTAAAAATATTAAATGACTGTATATTTTCAGAAAAAGTAAAGGTTTTCTTTATCTTCTTTTTCATTCAAATAACTTTGGAAAGGATAATCAAATTAAGTCTTTTTTTAAAAAAGCCGCCATACCTACACTCAGAAGAAATATGGGGAATTTACATTACACATGACAAAATTTTCTAAATGATAGGATAATAATTAATAAATAAAAGTTGCTTTTAAATCTTACTTAGTATTAAAAGTATATTAAATACCATCACAAAATCCTGTATATCTCTTCAATCATTGCTATCTTTTTCTCTGACTATAAAATTAATACTACTAATTATAATAGACAAATCCAAATGGTGATAATGCTAAACAAATTTATTTACACAGGATGACTGTAAAGGTAGATCCTGAGGGGAGCTGGCACATGAAAATATTAAAAATTAGGGTTTGAATGAATGAATGAGTGAATAAGTGTTTAGCTTATACCTTTAATTAATAATTAAAAAGGAAGCTTCTTAAATGGAGTTATTTTTACTACTCTTTCATTCAGCTACCAAGTAAGTGTAATTTTGTTAAATATTGTCTATAATATGGAATTTGTATTTTCTATTTTCAGCCCCATTTTAGACTGAGATTTTGTAATTTTACAGCTGAATTTTGGTCCCTGTTACCTAATCATGTAATAGGTCTCCAATTTCTTCTCACTCTAGAATGGTATACACAGTTGCCAAGATCATCTGTATGGATTGTATACTCCTCAAAAAAAGGGACTTCCATTGTTTTCAGATCAAAGTCATCAAGATACAGAACTGAACCAAGAACACACAGTAGGCAGCAAATAAATGAGTGTCAAATTGAATCTTTAAAAAAATATATAGTTAAGCCACTTAAGGAATTTTAGTGCCTCCTTAATCCAACACTTTTGAAATATAATGTCTGCTCTTTGGTTAGGCATTCACTTTGTTCTTGATCCTTGTTTCTGCTCCTAACTTTATTAATTTCTTACACAATTCTGCCCTATAAGGAAGAACATTCTCCATGCCATCCCCTGCATTTGTCCTCATTAATGTCCACATAACTCGGTTTGCTTTATTTGTTTTGGAGGGAGATTTTAAGTAGAGTAGGTACACTATCAAATTTGTAATTCATGTGGCTTGCTTTTCAGAGGGATTATTCTGGTTGCTGTGTAGAGAACATACTTTAAGAAGGGAAAGAAAGAGAGGGACAAAATAGTGTGTTTTCGTGTCTGTATGTGTGTCTCTGTGTGTCTGAGTGTGTGTGTGTGTGTGTGTGTGTGTGTATTTTAACCACCAGCTCTAACATAGAACTATATAGTAAACAAATAACTATATTTTAATAGAATGACTATTATCTTTTTCCATTTCAAATGTCATTTTTCCTCCATCAATTTATGTCACTACTTTCAAGAATAGATATAACATTATATAACATTCTAAGTTGCAGTAAGTATTTCTAGAGCGATAAACCCTTTGGTAACATTAATTTACTTGGAATTTTATAATAATTAAATTGCTTTTGTACTCTATTTCATATCTATATGGTAGATATGATTCATTTCTGATACATTTTTAAAATTTTCAAGTTATTATGCCTAATTTATGTTTTAGTCTCCCCAAATCATGAATATTCTTCATTATTTTTATATCCAACATTGTCATTGATTTTTTTTTGCATAGGATATTCATTCAATAAGTGACTAATATTTTTTTCATATTTTTTTTTACAGGAAAACACTTCCTATGACAGCTCTAAGTCATGATAAAAGGCTTGGTATTTCATGGAAACTACCTTGGAAGGACCAATGCTTAGTGAGGCAGAGCATCTGTTGCTTCTTTTCCCATCACGTATGCATGGTGCTGTACTTATTGTTAGTGAGACCTGAGACCTGCTGCTGCACACAATGCTGTGCTTCAATTCCACATACACTATAGGAGTCTGGAGGTATTTATGCCACAGGAAACCAATTATTCACTTTCTGACTAAATCTCTGAAGCGATCTGTAATGGATTTTTTAAAATTAAGATTTATTTAGAAAAAGGAGGAAAGAATACAGCATCAAGGAAAAATGGGAAAAATGTCTTCAGAAGGGAAATACCTGAGAGACTAGCAGAATAAAAAAAATGGGTCTACTCAATTAAGACTATAGAAGAACCAGCTGCAAGAGAGAAGATAGTCTTGTCCTCCCATGTCCCCAAAGCATCCTGCATGAGATCTTGGACAATGATCAATTCTAATCACTGGTATGTTTTTCTCCAGCTACACCATGAGTTTCTTGAAGAAGGGGCTGTGCTTATTTTTCCTTTGCATTCAGAATGCTGGCATAGTTCTGGGCACATATTAATTCTCGATAATCTGTCTTTTAAAAGACATAATATAGAATATGACATAAAGAGAAAAAATGGAAATAAATAACTCAAAGAGAATAAAAAGAAAAGGTAATTGAAAAGAGTGTTGCAAGAACTAAATAAGAATATTAACTTAGGGAGGTCCTACATTTATTATAGAAAAAATGTAATAAAATGTTATAGGAATACAAAATGATCACTAGTATAGATATATACTGAACGCAGCTATGCGTGAGGAATTCTGTACAGAATGACACAGAATTATACTCCGTGGGGAGAAGTTAATTATGTGCATTTTTCAGCTAGAAAACAGCTGCAGAAGGAATCAACACCTTGTGCAAATCTCAGTCACGTTATCTCCAGTTATTTCCAAGAGTTAGGCTCCTCTTGGAATAATAATGGCTGGCAGGGTGATGACATGTTATGCTGAGAACCAAAATTATATCTCAGAGGTTGGCAAAAATCCTTTGTTAAGTGGCCCAGTATGCCAAATACGGTGCTATGCATAAGGACAAATAAATGAAAAGACCTGATCATTGAGGTTAAAAAAGCTCAAAACCTAACATACTGCATTAAGTACACTGCTAGAAGGAGGAATAAAATGCTTACACAGAGAACACACATTTAATTACTCATTCATTCATTTGTGAAAGGTTAAAGAGAATAAAATGGGGCAGAGAAAAACTTATTGTGCTTAGCAGATATTTTGCAAAAAGCTTGTAACCTTGAGCACTGCATAGGCCAGATAACCACTAGCCATCTGACACTGGGAGGAACCAAGCACCACCTGGACCCTTGCAGCCAGCAAAAATTAACAAAAACCTTTTCCCCTCCTCCCTGCTCTCTTTGCTGATGCCTTTGTCGGTCTCAGCCCACCTGTACCCCCGTGCCTGGAATAAAATCTCTTTTGATACATGATGGCCTCATGTCATAGGAGTGCAAACCCCACCCAACCCAAACATTTCAATTTGCAGTGTGTGTTTCGAGTGCCTACAATGTGCCAGGAACTATGTGAAAACTAGAAATAATCAGGGAACAAAACAGAAAATATCCCCATCCTTGAGGGGCTATCATTTTACAGAAGGGCTTTGAAAAAGAGCTGCAAAAAGAGGAATAGGGTTCAGGACAGGCACCAAAATGAGGCAAGCACAGCGCCTAGGAACCACATTTAAAGAGGCATGCGCCCTCCATGCTGAGCAGCTACCCACCCTGAACTTGCAGGACCTTGAGAGTGAGGGCCTCTTTGAAAGTCTGTGCCCTAGGTACCTCATTTGCCTCACCTTGGTCCATGTTCTGATAGGGGGACACCTGGAATAGGAAGATGCAGTTTTACATATTGTGGTGAAGTAAGGCCTCATCAAGACAATGCCGTCTGAATAAAGACGTTAGAGAGGGGAAGGGAGTGTGCCCTGAATATACCTGGTGGAAGAGTGTTCTAGGCAGCGGGAACAGCTCGAGTAAAGACCAGATAGGATGAGTACCTTGTATACTCATACGATGGCCTTCCTCTTCTACTTTTCTGTATGAAAGTTATACTTCAAAAAGTTTACTAGGAAAAGTAAATGGGCTCTGCTTCTGCAATGGCCGCCTTCAACACACAGCAGCCCTGCTATCCTCCTGCTCTTCCCACTATTGTGGGACTCAGCAGCAGCTCCTGGGAGACCTGCCCCTGAAAGTGGTGGACAGGGTGGGTACAAGGTAAGATGATCACCAAAAAGTTCAGTAACCAAGAGATCAAAGCATGAGAAGTGAAGATGGAGGTATTACTGAGTGGCTGTGGATAAATTAACAATTCCGTGGAACTTCTCATTACAACCAGTGTGTGAAAAGTTTCCTCCTTGTCCAAAGAAAGTATAGTTTTCTGTTTACACATGCACAACATAATACAAAAAAAAAGAATTTGCCTTCTACATTTTTCAAAATTTTAGCCAATATGTTTTTTAGCAGCTGGGACAGATCAGAACATTATTATGTAATCATAGGCTTCTCAAATAAGGATTTAAAAATATATTTTTTATGGACAATTTGTACTGAGAACCTGCCATCCTGCTATAGAGTTTAGAAAATATTGCATCACAGAGGAACCACATTGTTGTTTCACTGGTTGCCAACATGGTTATATTAACTATGAGCAATTTAAATGGGCAGTCTTCTTTGATTCACAAAAAGAGAATGTTGAGATGTTTTGGGACAGTTACGATGGATAATGTTATTGCTAATTTTCTTAGCCAGTCTTTTGGCTATGCGAGAATTGTTCTTATCTTAGAAAACATAATTTGAGGTGTGAAGATATAAAGCTTCCTTCATATTTGTACCTCACCTTTTAAATGGTTCAGGGAAAAATGGTTACCGTATTTTCTGGGGGGGGTGGGGGGGGCGGAACAGACGTTTGTTTCATCTTCGAAGTGGCTGGTGTCAGTGGGAGGTTGAGTCCATCAGGACAGCTGCCTAAATACATTGCGGGTGGCAAATCTTTATCTTTTTTGAATAGGAGAGATAAGGCTTTTCCAGTTTCCACTCCAACACTTCTGCACATGACACCTGAGTGTACCTCACCCCTGCAGGTGGTTACACAGCTCATGAGAATGGCGCAGCAGGATGGCCATGACTCATGGTGAGAGGGTCGGAGCCACACAGGGTACCTACTCCAGCTCCAGCTGTGCAGGGTGACACTTATGTGACAGCCTGTTTGCTCCCAGAGACGGATCACAGAAAATTAGAGATGGAAAGACCTGTCAGGTCATTTAATCAATACCCTTGCCAGCTCATAATCATGCCCGTACACTCCATTTCCTAGCACATTATCCAGATGGGTTTTAAATAGCACGGGATATAGAGAGCACTGTCTTTATGTCTTCTTCATCGAGAATTCTCTCTAGCACATCCAGCTAAATGTTATTTAATGTTTATTTATCCTAGTTGTATGTATACAGTCATATCATGGTTACTTACAACTTGGGGAAAAGGCATCTGATAATATGCTGAGGACTTTCTAGCTGAGGACTCTCTCTAGGCTAGAAAATACCAGTTTCAGGAAAAGCAAAGAACTTGGTGGAGAAATGATCAGCAGTACTTCTGTGTTACCTCATTCAACTTCTTTTATTTTAGTTATGTGCTTAGTTAGCATTATTCAGCTCGTGCTTTCTTTAACAATAGCCAGAACTACAACTAAACAGTATCATTTGTTTTGGTTTCCACTTTTACATCTGTTTCAGTTTTCAAATTCATCATGCATCGCCCTGCTTTCCATATTGCATTTTAAAATCCTGCATCATCACTGTGATTCATTTAAAGCCTATTCCAAATATGTAAATGGTTTTCCTATTCCATTTCCTAATATTCCTTTGTCTTTTCAATTTTAGCTAACCACAAGCACAAAAACAGTAAGCCTGGTCCATCCTTCCTGGATAGTCTTGTCTAAGAAAAATGTCTACGCATTTTTTTTTTTTTTGTCCAGGCAGGGGGGCCTCCTCATGAACACAGTCTGAGAACGCATTTGTGGCTGGCTTACCTTAATTTGACCCTTTAAGCAAGGCTCGCTGCACACAGACCGCACCATGCCACTCTTGTTCATCTGGATTTTGTAGTCATCAATGTTCAACACCCCCTCATGCCAGGTTCCCACGTGTACATAGTCATAGCGATTAGCTTCAGTGTACTGCAGATTCATGATGTCATACCTACAAAGAAAACAACTTGTGTGTCCTGGAGAATATGGACATAATGTACAAAGCAAAGAAATTTGGTAAATCTATACTAACAAAGAGAAGAAAGTAAAAGCTGAAATCATCTCCTGTCCTAACACTAGCTACTGCTGATATTTCAGTTTGTTTGTAATGTTTCCACTGTTTTTGTTTTATTTTTTAAATGTGTATCCCATTCTCAATTTCTGTGTATTGCCCATATTTGCTAAAGAACACAGTATTCTTAGGCTTTCTCTGTGTGTGTTTTCCAAAATAATATTTCTATATGTCTATGTGTGCTGAGTTGGTCATCTCCTCCAACTCATTACACACTAAGTTGTTGTTTGAACAAGTAGCAACATTAACTCCTTGACTTTACTACTTTTATTCCAGTTTTCCTTTTTACCATCAGTTGCCATTTTCATTACACTGGATTGAAAGAGGTGAATTTTATAGAGTTTGGAACCTTTTTTAAGTGCTATTAGAGTAAGAACTCTGAGAAATGCATCTTTAATTAGCAAGGATGTTGGGGATTTATCATCTTGCCCATTAACATTAACTGGTCTTATCCCTGGTGAGGACAAACATTCCTGAATCCAAAAAAGTTATGTTAGTTGATTTCAGTAATTTCAAAAGTTGCAAAGCTACACAACAGCAAAATCTGCATTGAGAAATCATCTCTGCAGCCTGAGTGTATTCTGGGGGCAGACCTCAGCATCTTCCACTCCCCTGTGTGATGGAAACAGGTCAGGATTTGGCATTGAGATGCATGAGCTGGAATACTTTTTCTAACATTTATTTCTACTTTAGATTAAACTATTTAGAAATGTCATTAAATTTTTAAGGATCATGGCTTCTTGTGGGGATTTATAACCATAAGGTATGTAAGAAACTATTTCACAGGTGGAGCAAAGGCACATATATAAGGCAATATGTAAGAAACTATTTCACAGGTGGAGCAAAGGCACATATATAAGGCAATATGAATATATCAGTCATATGTATATTTCTATGAATGCCCTACAATTCTCTGGTTATTTCTATTACCATAAGAAAACAGGAGAACATTTTTGTGCTGGCAATGCCATTTATCTCTCAGCACCGAATATGTTCTGTCATTTCTCAATCTTCTTTGCATGCTGCTATAGACTCAGGTAAATTATAATTCACCAAGATCTGACTGCCATGCTGACTGCAAAGGGGGATGGTTTTCTGCAGTATCTGGAATGAGCTTTCAACCTCCCAAGCTAGAAGGTAAGAGGCATTGTCTCTTGCTCTTTGCTCTTGACCCAAAGAAATTGATGACAATTAACCAATACATACTTATCTTCCTCAGCTCTCTTCCACCTTTCTCCAAGGCCCCTATTCCACCCTGGAATTCCTTCCAAACCAGATTCAGACTCAGAATCCTCCAGGAAGCTACCACTCATCAACCTTATGTTGGTATCTGAAACCTATTGGCTGTATCTGTCCTAGTTCTTTATCTACACAACGCATGTTCTTTATTGGCTTTTCTTCCTGCTTTCAATGTGCAAACACCCACAGGGTAGCTAGTAGCTTCTTCACATCCAGATTCTAGCAATGTCTACAAATAGCAGTCCCCTACAGGGAAAGGGGAGACTGAGAGAGTGAAGGAAGTTATCCCCCTACTTTTCCAGGTGAACAAAACCTACTTAGAGTTTCATCTTTTGGCTGATCTGACTTTTGGCTACCAGAGGATTCTTATTTTCCTGGCTATTGAGACACACCCGAATGTTCTTCAGAGTAGCTGTCTGAGCGATATCCATGTAGGTGTTAACTGAGGGCTGATGGTTCACACTCATTCTACAGATCAATGATACTAATTTACACCTCCAATTCTTTTCCATTTTAAACTCACGGTGATAGCACCAGCTGTAAATGTTCACTAAGAATGGTTTCCTTTTTCCATTTCTTTTAATTTTTATGTTTTACTCCATGTTTAAATCTTATGTAGGTACTTCCAATGAAGGCTTAAATGCAATGCCAGCTTTAGAGTATCTTTTCCCTATAAATTAATTTCCTAAGATTTTATTTCAACTTCGTCATTTGCTCTTAGAAGAGGAGAAATCAGTTCACACTTCATTAGCATGCAAAAACTGAAAAGCTCACAATTTTTTGGTATGAAAAATGCATTTTTTAAAAATCCCCAAAGCCAGAAGGGAAAAAAAAAACAAAAACCCTGAAAGACACCAAGGGAAAAGTACTGTCTTAACAAAGAGAGGCCTCCCTTTGTTGTATGTGTTAATGAGCACTGCTCTTTTCTCCTGACCCGGTCCCTGCCTGCCCAGCACGCTGGCATTTATTTGGAATATTCCTCATGCTGTAAATTACAACTTGACAACATCCTTTCAAAGCATCTAGTTCATGTTACACGATGATTAGCTAAAATAATTACAGATGGATCCAAAAGCTTGGACGGCGTTGTGACAGGAGACGGAAGCAGAGGGAGTGGATTGAAACAGAAATTGATCACAGAAGATGATCAATTTCAAGCATGAGGAAATAATCCTTGAAAAGACACCCAGGGGAAAGGCCATCATCTAAATATACAATTAAAGATGGAGAGAAAAAACAAGCTAAACTTGTGTCCCAATATTTTGAATAACTTACAAATAGGGAGAGGAAGAGAAAACGCGTATTTATAGGGTGTCTAAAAATGCATTTGGTCCTTTGCCGGAAGGGAGGTTCCCCTTCCAACCTGATCCTTTGCAGAGCCCCGTTTCCAGTGGGACGCAACATCATAACCATGGACCAGTGCTGTTCTGAATCTCAGATCCACTAGGTCCACCTGATGTTACTTCTGAAGATGCTTAGCACCTGGAAACCTTCCACGTGCCCAGGCCCTCAATCATTCCATCCATCTCTCTCACATGTTTACCTAAACTTGCTCCCGCCTAATGGAAGCTTGAAAGGAATCTAATAAATTCATTGTTTAATTGCTGACAATTACTTAGATGATTTATCTTTCTGAGAGCTGGTGGATTTTAACAGGGAAAATCCACTTGGCCCCACAAGGCACTCTCTATACGTAGAACTTCACACTTACACGAGAGGAGGAGATATGTGGAGAATATTTAGGGTATCTTACAGTAGTCTCTCCCAAATAGTTTCTTCCAGTGCCTTTGAAATGACATTGAGATCATTGCCAGCAACCTTGCCTAATTTTAGGATTAGCTAAAGGCAGAGTGATGTGGCAAAAAGATTACAAGCCTCAGTCTCACACGGCACTGCCTCCATCAGCTACTGACAGTGTGATTTAAGGTAAATTTTTTAGTTTCTCTAACACTCAGCTTTATCAGATGTAAAAAGGATAAAGATTAAGGTGACCAGACTTTTTTAATCGGTAGCTGGGTAGGAGTGTAATCCTGGCAAGAGGCAGGATTGTGTGTGTTTACAATACGTTTTTTCAATGTTTTAAAATGTAATTTGCATATTTTGGCCTTGTCTCTTTAGCTTTCTAATTGTTTTGCACATAACACCCAGAAACCATAGAACCAAAGGGGGCCAGAGTTGCCACCTGTCTGGCTCAGGGAGGGTCACACGTTATTCCAGATCCATTACACAAAAGACAGCTTTACCTTCCAGGAGCATCCCCTTTCTCATCAAACCACACCTCTTCTCCGGACACGCCAATGAAGGTGGACTTGATGAGGAAGTCCAGGAGTTTGCTGCCGTCGATGGGCTTCATGGCATCGCAGAGGCCCACGTGGCCAGGGCACAGGGCATGGTGCATGTTCTGCAGCCCATGGGCCATGGCGTAGATGGCATTGATGACAAAGCCCATCTTGCTGTCCTGGACGTAGTTTTCTTCTAAGCTTTCATTGCCTGTAATATAAAAACAGATTGCTGCCAAGGCTGCAGTAATGGAGTCCAGGCCTGCAGGTATAATTCTCCGGTGCTTTCAAGGCTCTCAGAGGAAGGGAAAGCCAGGCTCACCTATTCCAGCTTTGTGACTAGCTCTAGTATATTCTGTCTGCAAATAGTTTATTCGGTTTTATTTTCTAACTTTGATAATGGTTTTATAACATATAAAGCAGACTCCATAGAGGTGAAAATTTAAGAAAAACAAAACAAAACAAAAAAACCCTTTCAAATATTGCAAGCAAATCCTTCAGGAGCAATGGGAATAGCTCTTATTACCTCGTGGTTCATGGAGACTTATATTAAAATTCTCCCTGTATCTCAGTACTGGAAAAATATTCTCGGTAGCCTCTATAGAAACCCACACTCCACAGTAAATCAATTTGTGCATTATCAAAAGCCTGATATTTTCTTTGGGTAATCTCTAAGGTCACAAAAACCCAGAGCAAGAAGAAAAGCTACGTAGTATGAATCTCCTCTTATATATGACTGGCGGTGCAAAAATACTTGAATCAGATTCTCGTGTTATTAGAAACTGAGATAAAATAATTTCCTGATGGAGGAGTCTGACTATATTCTTTGGCCTTTAGCTTTGACCAGTGGATTTGAAAAATCCTGCAATAATCTCTGCCTGTGTCAGAGGTGATCAAAGGCTCCCCAGGGGGCCAAGCAGTTTCCCAAGAACAGAACTGCATGATAGATGAGCTCCACAGCAGACATCTAAACTCCATCGCTTACACATGGGTGAGACATTCAGAGACCAACTGGCTTTGCTGGAATAAAAGGGAGAGGCTTGGAAAACAAAATAGATTTGGAACACACCACTGGCATCATTCAGAGATTTTGTACTTATTTCTAGAAATTTGCCTCTCTGCAGCGGGCTTTCCCTCCCCATTTGACTGATAGTGAGGGGTCTACACGATGTGTGATTCAGGTGCGAGAAGCTGGGAAAGTGGCGAGTTCACCTGCAGATGGGCTTGAGAACAACATGAGGGACAGGAAGGTTCCTGAACTCCAGAGCAGCACAAAGCATTAAGGAAGCTATTGCTTAATAGGAAATAGTGTGATTTGCTAAAGTATTTCCTTTCCAATTGGAAAAAGAACATTTTCTTAGAGGAAATAAGGAGTAAGTGGGGCAGAAAGGGCATTATAAAATCAACCCACAAAATAATAATAATAATAATAATAATAGTCTAGAGAGTTCCATAAAACAGAGAGCAAACATCTGCAAAAACTGTAGTCATTAAAATGGGGTAACGTATGTCTGTCAGCCAGAACCATGGCTCTCAATGTTAGTTTGCACGCTGTTCCCTCTCATTTATATCAGGACATAAAAGATATGGATTGATGCCCTGTGTTTGATACATTTTCAACATGCCTTTAAAGACTGCCCTAAACCTCCAGGTGCTGGAGCTAAATGTTAGAGAAATTAGCAGGACCCAAACTAGAGAAATTAGCAGGACCCAAAGAAAAGGGGAAAAATAGACAAAAATCGAGTGGCAAAATTGCCTTCAAGGCAGCAGCCACTTCGAGGGTTCTCGTCATTACTTGTAGCCATCCACTTGTAGCAGCTATTGATGTTGATCCAGGCTCAAACTAAGAAAATATGAGAATAAACACATGGAGTTCTTCACCAAAAGGAAACTTCTTTTTGAACAAGCCTTATGGACACTGAGTTTGTTTTTGTTTCTTGCGGTGACTAACTGATTTAAATAGTTATTATATATTTTAAAAGTTATGTTGTTGTCCCCAGTACAAATTTCCTAAGCTGGGGTTGTCCAGTGGATGTGTTATTCTTCAGCATAGAGACTACAAGGGTTCTTGGCTTCCCCTGAGATCAGTTTTCCCTTTGATCCATATCTAGGGTGATTACATAACTATTGTCCAAACTGGGTCACCTTTGAAAGTGAAGTGAGTGATGATTATTCTGGAAACACAGGGGTAAACAAGGCAAATTGGTTAAATGGTGACACAGTTCTTGAGCCATGCTGCTCTTTAACTATCTATTTAGCAATGTTGCATATATGTATGTATACATACAGATGCAATAAAAATCAGTAAAATATTATTAATTAAAAATTTTTACATGTATCTAATTTTAATAAGAGATGAACACATCGATAATACTTGCTACTGTTGTGTTTGTTATGTATGATACTCACAGAATGAGTTCACGATAATCTTGCCAGGCATTCATCTTGCCACTTACGAGTGAGGGAAAGGTGGTGGCATCCAGATGCCCCTTGACCCTTGGTGTTTCTGTTACGCTCAGCAGCAGCAGCAGCACAAGGGCAGGTACAGAAATCTACAGAGACTGTGCTCTTCTGGTGACAGAGGATAGGGCATCCTGCTGTCACCAGTATCGCTGTCAAGCTGGCTTGGGTTTCTCCCCGAGATTGTTCCAGTTGTGCACAGGTGTATCTCTGACTAGGAGCACCGGCGTGCAATCTATCAACCGCAAACTATGACAGAGAAGCCGTCCTGTCAGTATTTATCCTGCAGACAGCCAGGAGGCCAGGCACACGTTTCCAGGGAATATTTGTAACTCATCCCATTTCCAAAATAAACACAAAGAGCTTGCAGTTTGTCAATCTGAAATGAACCCATGCACTGGCCGCCCCTGTCAGTCCACTGGGTCCACACGTGAGGAGGCTGCTGCCATCAGTAAGAACTCCTCAGCTCCCAGCCAGCCCAGTAGGAGCTAACATTTGGGAAGGAGTGACAGAGAGAAAATCATCTGGCCTTTATGGGACCAGCCTCTTTGCCATAGCAACTGTCCCAGATAATGTTGCAAGGATCTATCGTCAAACCAACAGAACATGTTACAGGTTTTCCTGACCAGTGTGGATAGAATATCCAAACTAGTAATATCACCGCTTGGTAAGAAGGTGAAAACATTTTAAATTCCCTAAGGTTTGGGGCCTTTTCACAGCACTAGTCTAAGTGTTATTAGAGAGAAGGGTTTTTATGATTCATTTTTCTGTGGTGCATTAACTGTTATAGACCACTAGGGTGTCATTAAGGTATTACCTTTTCTAATACACTAAATGGAATCAAATAATTATACTTTACTGTGTTTATTTACCTTCAAAAGAATACCTGCCTCATACTTCACCATGGATTGTGAAAATGTCTACTTTGGTTCTAAAATAGCAGTCTTGTTCTCATTGTGAACCCACATCAAGCACGCTAAATTGTTGCCTGACAGCAGCAGCCTGCAGGGCCTCCACGGGGTAGGGACCTACAGAGCAGCTTCTAGAAACAGAAAACTCATGGTGATTGGGAGGAGGGTCAGCAGTTCTATCCACTGACATTTAGGACAGCTAATCAGCAGAGTGGAGGAGCAGAAAGAACTCCGGACTAATCACCTGAACACCTGGGACCCAGAGGCAGTTCTGCCATAAGATGTCAACAATGAGCCATGGAACTTGGACAAGGGTCTACATCTCCCTGGGTCTCCGTTTCCTAATTAAAAAAGAAAAAAACACCGCAAGTGGACCAGATTCTCTTTCTGAAGTTCTTTCGCCGCTAAAGTTTCTATACTTCGCTTCTCCAATTCCACATTCATTGGTACTTGGCAAAGCCATTCCCATACACTAGTCTCAGTGTTACTAGGATCTTTTTTAATCCTTGCAAGGCTGTGTGAGATAGGTTCTATTACCATTTTACAAAGGAGGGAGACTAAAGCACAGAGAGGTTAAGAAAACATGCCCTCCTTTCCCTTCAATTAATGCTCTTTTTGTGAAGAGGCTCCTGTTGAGTAACACCTTAGGCTTTTTAGCTCACCTAATGGAAGAAAGGGGAATTAAACTTATTGGAATATTGACAAAAAGAAACTGGGCGTGCTCTGCTCAGCCTCCTTCTCTCATTGGGAGGCAGACACTTGACAAAGATTCTGGTTGGTTCTCTGGCAAATTCTTTTGTTTTCTATGTATACAATCTCATGACTAATAAGACATATTTAATCATCATTTGACTCCTGGGTCTACTTAATCGAATCCAAATTTGGAAAAGAATTACACTGACTATCACACTGAAATCTCATGAGGCATGAATTCAAGTTCACACAGCTAGCAAGGACAGAGGCAGTGGCATCCTGATCTGGACCTGTGCCCCACCAAGCATCATTGTGGATGCAAGTAGCATCCTTATCCAACCACCAGAGCAGTCCCAGCAGACAAGACATTCCTTAAAACAGAGAAGTATTACAGGAAACATTGGCAAACATAACTGTCCCTGGAGAAAATATTTTTCTGAGTTCTTGGCATTTGTAGCTCTCCACTCCTCATTTTATCTGACAGCATTATACACTCAATAAATAATTTTATATAATCTCAATTCATATCAAAATAAAGACAGTTGTAATTATTTTATATTGTTAAAATATCAAGCAAAGGAAATAAGTCATTCTCCTTTAAAGAACCCAAATATTAAATTAATTGAAGGAAATTGAATCAGGTAATTTTTAAATAATTACCTCAAAGAACTAAAATGCCCTCAATTTTTCTTGCAGATCTAGGCTGCTATATCTTTTTAATACTTTTCCAGAGAGAATTTGTGTTCTCAATAGTCTATCCTCATTCATGCTCAAGTCTAGGACCTCTGAATTTTTTGTTCCCACTGATTCTGTATTTTCTTTTTTCCCTATAAAATGTCCTCTGCTCACACCACAGAAAAATATGATCCTTTCACTATTTGTTCTTTTTCATTTATTAAAATGTAAATAAGCCCCTATGTAGGATGGAAGAGAAGAAACAAATATCATTTAATCGAGCACATTATTATCACTGTTATTAGTGGAATTTTTATTGCCTGAACCCACCTGCTTTTAACATATATGAACAAGATAGACATTTTTTTTCTAAATACATTATCACAATCTATTGTTAAGAAAGAAATCCTCCAGTTATGTAACACATGAACAACATGCTCCCTGCAAATTGATGATAATTATGGTAACTTTC